CACTAACCGCAACAAACGCTATTTAAGTGTCTTTATGAAATATTTTACAATAAGTAGTACATGAATGACTGGACAGAATTTCCCTGGAAGCACACGACCGGTTTCGAGGTAGTCCAGTCATTCATGTACTACTTATGGTAAAATATTTCATAAAGACGCTTAAGTCGCGTTTGTTGCGGTTAATAGCTTCTAACCCACCTACAAAGCATGGAATCATAGTACTGATTCACCAATGGACTGGTTCTGAAAGAACTGTCCAAACAAATTTACTCGGTCACATGAGATCCATGGATGGATCGGATCTCACTCAAAAATTTGGGCGTCGTGCTCTTGATGATTGAGGAAATTAGATTGTCTTATCCACAACGAGAGAAAAATCAAAACACGGCATTGGTGACAACGTTTCGACCCTCCTGAAAGGCGTTTAATCGGTTAATCTCATGTTACAAGCAATTATAAGGCGATGGGATGATGACATCGTATAGAACTCGGATGTGATTCGAACATACGTCCACGTGTGTGTGTGCGTTGGTGATCGATCCGATGGGGCAGTCATTCCACAGTTATGGCAACAATTAACATTGCATACAAAATAGTCTTGTCACCACCCGCAATGCCAAATGACCAATTCACAGGTTTTGACCTAAAGGTTACACCAATTGCACTAGTCCGAACTGCTGAACGATCTTCAACACACACACAGACACACACACGTATGTTCGAAGCACATCCGAACAAAATGCGATGGAAACCCACATCGAACATCATCAACAGTGCTTGGTGCCTGTGAAAAACCGAATGGATTAACCCAAACATCTGAACTAACAAAAGATTAGCGGATTAGCATGCCTGACGAGCGGCAAGGACCGCGAAACCGGTCGTGTGCTTCCAGGGAAATCTTCTCTGGTCCTTTATATACTACTTATTGTAATAAAGATATATATATCAAATCGCAAAAGAAGCCCATGGTATTAATCAGAACACAGGCAGTAGGCGAACACTTGTTTTCGGTGAGTTCATTCTCAAGCCCGTACAATCACAGTTATACAAGAAAATAGCGGGTAGGTGTTGTATTGGGGTCAAACAGTCGAGGTCAAATAATTGTAGCAAAGGGGTGGGCTAGGGACATGTTTGTCTCTATAGTTCTCCTGTTCGGATAAGAATGGATTACTTAAGCGTTTATAACTGACTTAGGGCATCACAACGCTCATGTGTGATGTTGTCCGCGTTGGGTCTGGAAATTTCAAGTGTCTGAACAAGTGTTTTTTGAGCACACAGTTCTGGCTTCAACAAATAGCTGTTTTAATTCGAACAGCCTTGGATTTTTGTTGTGGGACTCTATAATTGATGGTGAAAGCCGAATTAGCATCCACCCTATGTCCAGTGGGTCGTTGTTCCTTGATACGTTTAGATAGCTGCCTTGTGACGCCACAGTGCACTTGAACTGGTAGTTGAGCATTGACGAGGTCAACATAGGCAACGTATCCTTGTTCTGAAATAAAATGACGGATGATGTCGAGAACACGCAGCTGAGTTTAGCGGTATTAAACGTTGTTTTTACTGCGACAATCGGACTCTAGTAACCTTTTCAGTTGTTGGATCTCCTTTGAACTGAAGTTTGATGAGCCATGTCTTTTTCTCAGCTCTAGCTTCAAGCGCCTGTTTTGTTCTTTCAGACCAGTCATGATTAATGAACGTTTCCTGGTAGTCATTTTCTGATAGTTTCTTTCACGCAACTGTTATTTCTGTTTATAATGTGTCTTCTAATCAGATGTATCTTGCTTTGAATAAAAGACAGCGCACCAAGTTACGCTTGTAAACGGGCGGAACAAAACCATGAAAGTTTGCATACTGTCCGTTCCATGTGGCTTCTCGATGCACCTTCTGGTGAATGGAGCCATTCAAACGTTTTGTTAAATTAACATCTAGAAATGGTGATTCGTTATATTCTTCCTTTTAAACTGTAAAGCGTATCTCTGAGTGTGCTATATTGAAGTTCAACAACACACAATTGAGGTCCAAATCGTCATCAGAAATACGAAGCACATCGTTCACGCGTCTGTAGTAGTGATCAATTGACTGAGTACAGATGACCGGATTCTAATTTTGCCATGAAAGTACCGCGAGGACTGGCCCTAAAGCTGACCCCATGGCGACTCCATCTTTTTGACGATAGTAGGTATTACCAAACAAGAATTGCACGTTGAGCATGCATCTGAGTTTCAATTCTTTGAGACTGTCAATTGATACACCCACGGTTATGTTCTAACTCGTAATAAATTCACAAATGAAGTTTTCTGTCTCGAACAGAGGTAAGGTGGTAACCAGGGACACAACATTAAGAGAGAACATTTGTTTTCCTGCCACGTTTACATCTTTTATGGCAACCACAAACGCGAAGGTGTCTCGTATTGTGTGTTTTGCAAGTAATTTATATACTGGTTCGAGAACTTCTATTTACCATTGAACGGTAGCATGATAGGCTGAGTTTGTCACGGACTATATGGGATGAAGAGGCATGCGAGGTTTGTAAATATATAGATCTAATCGAACCTGAATCAATGGGTCCCTGTGAAACACCTGTGGGTTCGTGTAGGCAACAGCATTTATACTGAAGTAACCATTTCTCCAAATAAAAATTAACTAGCCTTGGTGAGTCATTATGGCCGGGGTTTTCCTGATTCGTTTATACTCAGCAGACGGAATGGTTCAGAATGTAGTGGATACTCATTTCTTTAGTAGTGGTTGACCTAGACCATGATGAGTTAAGAACTAACAACAGAGAATAAAACAGTTTTCATTTAAAACAAATTCACATTCATAATAATTGAGATGTAAAGTTTGTGTACACTAATAGTCGGTTGGTCTACATTTGTTCTTTAGGACTTTTTCGAGTCTCTTCCGTATCGAATCCATCAACTTTGTTAAGAAATCATTTTCTATTTTGTGTTCCTTTACATATCACACTTTTGCCTCCAATGTCCAATGTACAGGTAGCACAGTGACCTCTCTCTTCAAAACAGAAAACAGATTTTCAATCATACTGAGATCCTGACTATTAGGGGGAAGTTGCATGATTTGGACCTTAGAGTCACACATCTTTTCTGAAGTCTAAAAGTAAATAATAAGTGAACCGGACTCTGCAACGTTTTTCCGAGAAATACGAATTACTTGGTTTACGGCCTCCACAAGCTGTCCTGGTTATTTTTTTCATTGAATTATCCTGTAAACCGTGCTTTTGTTAAAGTTAAAACAGTGAGCAAGATTTGATATGGTAAATTCCAACCTGCGTGTTCATACTACTCTATTTCTGCCCTCTTTACTAAGAGAACGAGAACGTTTGGTTTCGAATGCTGCTTACTTCATTATGATGAAAAACAATACGAACGTTCAAAGCTGTGCACAAAAATAACCTTAATTTTAAGTTTGACTTTGATGAAAACGGTTTTCTCGAATTCAGTGAGTTGGTTATCAAATATAGATTATTATTATGAAAGAATTTCACTTCGTTATTCAATGAAGGTGCTATCATACATTATATATTGGATAAAATAAGGCCTCATAACAAATAACCGAGATGACAAGGGTTTATGGAAATAATTGGGGACAACTCTTGAGTATGTATTGCATTTTCATTCATGATAAAGTTTGTGATTTTCATGTTGAGATTATTTACTCATGGCACCCAAGGTCAGGCTCGTTTGATTGACAATCATGCAGCCTAGAAACTATGTAGATCGAAGTAGACAAGAGATAAATTATTGTCCATATGTAAAGCATTAATATAGGTGATAGACATAATGAAACTAAATTTGATCAGAAAGAAAATATTTTAGTGCATCACAATCGACCAGTACGGTACACTGAAGCAAGTGATTGTGTGCCTTAAATTGAATACCGTAACTGAGATAGGCTTCGTATTGCTGCTGGAAATCACCTCAATTCTGTCTGACCACCGTCTGCTTGCTACCCATTCATAGTTTCAGATATTTGGAAAAGGGAAAACCGAACAGATGTGAGAATATCTCTTCAATTATAAACAGCATTAGCGTTCGCTCAGCCCAAATCACTGCATCGAGGTAGCCGCAGATGTTCTTTATGCCGCCAATCTTTCCCCCCCCCCGCTTCCCAAACTGGACGAAGTAGTATTTGAAACGTCCTTTTCTCTTATTTATTTGTCTTTCTCTTATTTCTGCTATTCAACTGGTACGACTTGAACCAATCACTGATAGCATCTGTGGTCGGACTGTAGACCACGCCCAAACGGAATAGATTGACATTAGGTCAATGAGGAAGCGAGTCCGGGGGGTGGNGGGTGGAAGTGGGGGAATGCACAGTAAAAATTAACTTGTGTTCGTTTTGTCAAAAGCGCGCTCGATGCAACCATGTCGAGTCTCTTTTCGAGAATCAATGTGAAAATAGTCCATCGGTAGAAAATCTGACAAATGTTTGTGTTTAAATTGGATTGGAGAATCCAGTTTGGAACGGACCGTTCCAAGCCAAATGGTACTTGGTGCCGAATGTTTCAACGTGAACAAAAAATGACAGGGAGTTATGCATATGATGGAAGACAAATACCGTCATCAATTTGATCTGGATGGATGGATGCATATACGATCAAACTATGGACGTAATTACTGCTCTCAAATGTACCGGTACTTGATGAGCGTACAGTTTCCCGCTTAAACAAAACAAAGACATGTGTTCAAAGTAGATCAGTTGTTTCATACAGTTAAGCAAATACACACCAGTTCAAATACGGGCATATATGTTCATCGCGGTTGTGATAGATAAGGCTAAATAAGTAACATGATTGAGTTGCATGGATATCACACACGCACACCCTCCCATGTATGATTATACATGTCACCGATCGAGTTTTCCGGTGCATTATGACGGTGTGTTTTTGTGTGTATCTGTGTGTACCGTTTAACGTATACTTCACCGTAGATAGCAAATAGTTCCTGAGCCTGAGAAGACAACCATCATCGGCGCCCTGGTCACAATTCCGTCACCGAGGCGACCGAAGAGGACATGTTTCGTGAGACATTGATACGGAACAGGAGTTTCATCACGTAGGAACGGGCAAAATGTCTCAATGTGCTCGTCGTACTGATCAGAATGACCGGATTCAGAGTGCATGTGAGAATGATCAGACCGATCCCGACTTGTTGTTGCGGTGACCCGGACGCGTAGTCAATCAGGCCCACATTGGACAGGAGATAGCGTACCGCCTCATAGGCGTGGAAAAGTAACAACATGGAAGCCATTGTGGCTGTGGTGATGAACAACATTTTCACTCGTCGGCCGGTGGGCGAACGTTGCGTGCTCCCATCCTCGTTGTGAATATTCAATGGGGATTGGTAGACAAATCGAATGACTACTGCGTGACACGTGATAATGAACAGTCCGGGGAGCATGTAGTTGCAAAACAACCAAAAATACGACTGGACCGCGAAAAACGTGGCGATATCGTCGATTGCGAACTCAGACTCGCAGGTGGAATTGACAAAACGTCGACGCAGACAATTGGGAATAAACAAGAACAAACTCATCGAGACCAGATAGATGTAGCAACCGATGAGTAGACCCCTTTGGTGTAGTTTATAGAAAATGGGTGAGACCACGGCAACCAATCGATCAAATGAAATGCATACTATATTGTGCACACTCATTACCGCACCTAACCAGAACAGATTGTCACGAAACCATGAATAGCATAGAATTTTGTTGAACGTTTCCCATGGGGTGCTGTACCTGGGTCCGACTGCTTTGGAGATGAACAGAATTCCACATGCGTAACAGTCAATCACTACCTGACTGCGCATCAACGAGGTGGTCAGTTTGGAACTGATTTGACAACGGAATAGAACAAATATGCCCATACTGTTCAAGATAAGACCGAAAAACGAAATGATTCCCAGTATGATACGTACCGCCTCAGCTTCCCACATGCCCATGGTCGGATAAGGATTACGGTTGCCTCCCACCGACAGCACGCATAAACGGAAAACGGCCAGGCCGCGAGTCGGACAGATGGTTATATA